CCTCTTCCAGTAGCTCAAACTCTCCAACCCTGGCAACATCCTTGTAAATCTTTTCTGCACCCTTTCAAGTTTCACAACATCCTTTCTATAGCAGGGAGGCCAGAATTGCACGCAGTATTCCAAAAGTGGCCTAACCACAAAGAACTTCACAGCCACTGGGGTACTCTTCTGGAGGATGGCAGCTATTTATAATGTCAGAGTCATAAGCAACTACTTAGTATACAGCAAGGTCCAACTAACAGCGGTATGGAAAATGGCTGGATGTAGTGATATCAGTTGAGTCAGGACGCAGAGAAAACGCTCCTGCTTTTGTTTAAAGTAGTGCCTTGAGATGTTCTCCAAGTACCTGAGAGGGCAGAGGAGGATCTCAGTTTGACATCTCAGGTGAGAAATGGTACCTTTGAAAGCGCATCATTCTCTCAGTGTTGCGTCGGAGTGCCAGCCGGGATTCTGTGATGGGGTCACTGGAAAGGGAAATGAATGCATGACCTTTGACTGAGAGGTGAGAGTGCTACCTAGTGAGGCCCCTGTTGAACATTCCAGCACTAAAGTAGCATTCTCCCTTCACACACAGCTACAGGGAGCCAAGGGCCTGGGACATTTCATTCGGATTTTATAGTCCAATTACTATCTGCAAGCACAAGTAGGATCCAGTGTAACACAGCAAGCCATCAGTCCTGAGTGCTGAAGAAGGGGAATACCTGAAACGTTGACTGCTCCTTTTCTCCAGACACTACCCATCCTGCTGTCGTCTTCCAGCCTCCTGCTTGTCTAACTTGGATTCCAGCATCTGCAGTTTTTTTTTGTCTCTATTCAGTAAATCCCGTTTCTGGAAATGCAGATGGATTCATTGGGTGATTAACCGTGCTTGTATTGAGATCCTGCAGCATTGATATTCGTCAGCACTGAACAACAGAAACCTTATTAAAACATTACATTTATTCCTCCATTCACAGGGAATGGCAAATGGCTTCATTTTCAAATTTTATGAATTGCAGTCCCTGTTCTTAGAAATACAGGCAGCTAATTGCTGAACTGTGGTATCAAAAAGCGTGCTGCATTTGGACACTGGCTCTCTCCCATTAGCTTGGCGCTGAGTAACGTGGTTAGATTGTACTCGAGACTGAGCTGCTTCCCCTGTTGTGCTGTAGAAATGAGTGGAATTCCCAAACGGACACTGTTCTGACCCAGTGAGAATCGCAATGAAAAAGGAGTGTTCTGTAACAACAAGAACTTGGTGACTCACTGTCCCATTAAGTCTTCTGGATCATTAATTATCTTGTACACTGGACTACTTTTTTGTTTCTCGATGCTAAACAAGTCGCCTTTCTTCAGAACTTTTAGGGGTACTTCTGGGAACACCCACCATGCTTGAAGTCCTGGTACCAGTATCAAACACTCCCAGGGCAGGTACAGCACAGGGTTAGATGCAGAGTAAAGCTCCCTCTACACGCTTTCCCCATCAAACACTCCCAGGACAGGGACAACACGGGATTAGATACAAAGTAAAACTTCTCTACACTGCTAAATAAAAAGCAGAAGAACTGCAGATGCCATAAATCAGGAACAAAAACAGAAGTTGCTGGAAAATCTCAGCAGGTCTGGCAGCATCTGTGAAGCAAAAAACAGAGTTAACGTTTCAGACCCGTTCTGAGGAAAGGTCGCTGGACCTGAAACATTAAATGTGATTTCTCTTCACAGATGCTGCCAGACCCGCTGAGCTTTTCCAGCAACTTCTGTTTTTGACCCTCTACACTGCCCCCATCTCTCACACCCACACTGTGGCTTGCCTTTCACAATGATTATTGGAGTGAATTTTCTTCAGGACCAGGCAGCTGAAGACATGGTCACCATTAATGAAGTGCAGAAAACCAAAAAGGCTTAAGAAACCGGAATTCGAGGAGTGTTGAGAGCTCGGAGAGTTGTGGGGTTGGAAGGAATTCCAGGGGAAGGGATGGAGATGTGACCAGTCACGTGGTCTAGCATACATAGATTGCCCAACTAAATGGCCTGATTGCCCCTCTATCTCTGTAACCTGCTGCAGCCCTGGGTAGATATGTGCATACGTCATTATATATGATGAAGGGGAATGGGACAGGTCGAGAACGTTGTTAATAATGGATACACAATTCTGTGCTTTCTCAATAGTGGCCTTCTGTGTAAAAGCAAGGAAGTTATATTCAACTTGTATAAGCTACAGGTGTGGTCTCCGCTGGAGTACTGCGTCCAGTTCTGGGTGCCGTGTTTTAGGAAGGATGTGAAGACACGGAACAAAAATATTCAGAAGAATGGTTGCAGGGATGGGGACCATCAACTATGTGGATGAATTGGAGAAGCTGAACCAGTTTCTCCCTGAAGAAGAGAAGATTGAAAGGAGAAGTGAGAGATGCTGACCGAGTGGGTGGGAAGAAACTGTCCAAACTATCCACACGACACAAGACAGGTAGCAGTAAGTAGGGCAATCAAAGACTGCCTCGGTCTATATCAGACCTGTCTGTCCGGGGCTGGGGGGGTGGAAAGGATTGGTGAGGAATAGTGGACGCCAACTGTTTCCACCTCCCTTTCCAAGACGTGAGCAGCTAATCGCCCTGAGAGCGTGACTACATTAACAGCCCCTTGTTAAAGACAGTGTGTATGTGGTTCCCTTGCTTTCGACATTGATGAAGTGTTTGGTGAGAGGTTCTCCTCAGCTCCAGTTCTGAATGGCTTTTGATAAATGGCTGTCTGGCAAGGCAGGGATAGAATATCTCATTTTCTCCCTCTACAATCTAATCACAACGTGAATAATTTATCTTACCTCTGCTCACAATATTAAACACATTTGCAGTAATGCCCATACTCTTTGCCATACATCATTGGTGATTTACTTGATTAGAAACTGGTGAGGAGGTTTTTTTGAATCCAAACCTGTCACAATTTCCTTCAATGGTTCACCTCGAGGTAACTATCTCACGCGAACACAGTTAGCTTAAAGATTTTTAGTCGATGCCCTCGAGGCTTTTCAAATATGTACAGCTAATCCATCCATAGATGCAAGATTTGCAGATTTACACATTGCAGGGAAAACTATATAAATATTGACGCATGCCAGGAGAGGTCCCTGCAAACACTCACTCCCAGTAGATCCCTGTAAATACGGACATGCTCCCCTCGGGGAGCGCGCACCGTCACCTTCCCCCCCCCCCCCCACCCCCGTAAAGACTGACACACTCCCCCCAGGGGGATCCCCCTGTAAATACTGACACACAACTCTAGGATTATGTAGTTCATCGCCGTAGAAATTCACTTGACCTTTTGTGGCTATGCCAGGTGCTTTTGGGAGAGCTCTTCAATTTGCCCTACCTCTCACCACACTGACCCTACTGCCCTGCAAATTGTACAGTCATAATGTGTGCCATAGTGGGACAAAGGGATTTAACATGGTGAAAGTTCCAATCCTATAAGGTTCGTTGTTGGTTTTCTTCTGTAATCAATGAATTAAATCCAGTCTGACTCTGTAGCAGCAAATATATATATCGAGGATAATGAATGACTAGTGAAGTGGTTTACACAACTGACTGAGTAATCCTGAAACATGGATTCAGTAGCAGGCCTGCAGGTTCAGATCGCACCATGGCAGGTTGAGAGTTGGGGTTCTGTTTTAGAATAAATCTGTGAAGTGCTAATTAATCTGTGGGACCATAAAATCTCAACTGATGCCGTCTGGGGAAGGAGGCTAGCTGTGCTCACCCAATCAGGCCTCTCTGACTCCAGCCCCGTGCCAAGGCGGTTGACCCTAAGCTGCTCTGTGAGGTTATCCAGCAAGCTGCCTGGCAGTGTCACTTTAATCCACTGTGACCCTCCAGCTGACCCCAGTGTCACTTTAATCCACTGCGACCCTCC